AGACAGTCTGGATCCTGGTGCTTCACGTTACATGGTTTCCACGTGCTGTGTCACCACGCTAACATCTTTGACAGGGGTCACTTCAAGCCACCCCTTCCTGCCAGTCTGTTCGGGCCCTGTGTTAATTTTACACCATAAGGATCCATGGGTTAACTATATATTGGCCTAAATCCTGTTATTGGCCCTAGCTGGAGCAGAGCTATTGAATCATTTGGATTTACTTGTGTGTTGACTAAACATTCAAAAATTCATTCAATGGTTCTATTCTAGTTGGGCGTAAATAGTAGGATTCCAGTGTACACATGGAAATGATTTGCAAGACATTTTTCCTTTCCCTCACATTTAAAATATGGTTTTGCCTTGTAAATAAGGAAAGCTAGATCATTCTGCCCTGCTATTTCTCCATTCCTAATCACCACCCTGTCCTCATAATGTAATAATCTAGTTGTTGATTTGTTTTGTTGATAAGGAAATATCAATGAATCCTAGATTTGGAAGGCAGAATTGGCAAAGCCTAAAACCCAGGTGGACAGCCTGGTGGCTTGCAGGAAGTACTTTTCATGTTGAAACCCTAAGAGATATCAACTGGACCCCATTGCAATATATATATAATTAGGGTAAAATTAGGGTGAAATACAGCCAGAGTGGTGAGTATGAGTATTTGAAACTGGAGAACAGGGTTCAAATACCTATGGAAACCCTCTGGGCAAGTCACTGGCTGCTGTTTCTGGGCACAATTCAAGGTGCTAGTTATGACCTACAAGGTCTTATACGGCTCAGGGACAGATTATTTGAAGGACCAATATTCCTTATATAAGCCTGCCTGTGCTTTGAGATTTTCTTTGTTTCACCATCCTCAAAGGTACATTTGGTTGGAACATGGGAAAGGCTTTTTCAGTGGCTGCTCCTGGACTCACAGAGATTTTAAACTGACATCCTCTTCGCTATCTTTTCATAGACATGTAAATAAATACCTTTCTATTTCAGCTGTCCTTTGAGGGATGACTGCTTTGGGGAAAAGGCCTTTGATGTGCTGTGTTGTTTTTATTTATTCTTTTTAAATGTCTTATTTTTAAAAACTTATTTTAACTTTATTGATAGTTTAATTAAATTTTAAACTCTTGTACAATGTAAGCATTTTAGTTGTATTTGTTTTAACTTTTTAAAGCAGCCTTGAGTCCCAGAGTGAAAAAAAAGGGGGGGGGGCAGAATACAAATATAACAACAAACAAAAACTCAGTGCCAGTATGAAGTAGAGAGCATTCCACAATTAGGGTGCCACAGCAGAGAAGGCCCACTCCCATGTCCTCTTATGGTACATTGTGTCCATTGATGGGACAAACAGAAGGTTGTTTCCTGCAGACTCTTATTCTCAGACAGATATATACAAGGAGCGGCATTTTAAGAACCATGTTCCCAAGCTGTTTAGGCCTTTGTATGCATCCCCTTAAATTCAGATCAGAAGCATATTGGCAGTCAGCGCAGTTCATTTAATATTAATGCTTTATGGTTTCTGTGTATCATTCTGATTAACAATCTAGCTGCCGTGTTTTGCACTTGATGCAGCTTTCAAGATGTCCTCAAGGTCAGCCCCATATAAAGTGCTATAGTATAGAAGTCATAATTGCATGGCCTACTGGGTTAAGTTATTGTTGTTGTGTGCCTTCAGGTTGTTTCTAATAAGCTTATTGCATTAGTACCTGTAATGTTCCCATCGAGTCCCTGGAACGTAATGATATGGGAATGGGTGTTATTGCATTAGACTATTGATAACGGGATAGTAACATTATGATAACACATATTATTGCACTGCATTTACTGTTGTACAAGTACCAGTGCTAAAATAGTTCCTCAGCCGTTCCACATTGGTGCATGCTCACTGTTGCGAAAACCCCTATGTCTGCATTGGAAAGAATGCTACCGAGAGGTTTAGGTAGCGAGCATTCATTGTTTTTTCTTGTAAACATGACACAATTCAATCTACAAAATTAAAAAAAATATTTTTAAATTCCCTGTGGCACCTTCCTTGCATCGACACTGGAAGGGTTGAGTTTGTGGACATTCTAGAATGGGAGGGGAGGAGATTGTCTTAGCCAATCAGAACACGAGAACAGATTGAGACTGGGTAGGATTATTGCATACACATCGTATCGAATGGTCTGAAAGTGTTCTTGCTGGCTGAGGACACATTTTTACAGTTCTCCTCCTGGAGCAGGCTAGGGACTGTCAGAGTACAGAATGGGAACTCGATGAGGATTATACCGTGCAATAAAATATGTTCCTTTCCATTCTCATCGATAAGCTTATAACTTATGGTGATCCTAAGATGAACCTATCACAGGGTTTTCTTGACAAGATTTGTTCAGAGGGGCTTGCTTTTGCCTTCCTCTGAGGCTGAGAGAGTGTGACTTGCCAAAGGTTACCCAGGGGGTTTCCATGGCTGAGTAGGGATTCGAAACCTGGTCTCCAGAGTCACAGTCTAATGGTTAAACCACTATGCTAGCCCTTTCCAAATTAGGCCATAGCTGATGGACCAGCTGGCCCCAAGCATTTTGAGCCAAGGAATTCAAGTGGGCCTTTAGTGACAGAGATGGATCTAAGACTACTCCCAAACCATACATCTGCTGTGTCTGGGACAGTTTAAGAATTAATAAAGTGTAACAAGAACAAAAAGTATTCAATTCTATAAAATGAGTTCTCACAAAAGAAAAACTTTCCCCCCATACTATTTTATATTTATTCAATATTTCAAGATTAGAGTAGAGTCTAACATTTAATTAGCATAGCAGGGCTCCATTCAGCCATTGTAATTTGTCTTTCTCTTCAAAGAAATACATACGTTGTTATATATCCCTCTTTTCTTTTGCTATGAGGCACATTTCAAAAGAACAGGCACACTTCCATATGCAATACCATATCAGTCTGATTATATCCTACATAACAAGACATGCCCCAAGATAAAGTAACACTCAGATATTTATTTGGATGAATCACTTTGATGTTAAGTGAGCTAAAGAATTCTTTATACTCAAAATGCAAGATGGTGAATTTCTGTGTCATTGCAATCAATCTAAATCCACAGTGGACGTCAACACTCTCTTCCAACTGCTGTGGTAAAATATAATGCAATTCAGATCTACTTGTTTCCAGTCCCAATATAATAAAGAGTAGTTAAGCCGAAGAAGAATGCAGTAAGGAGGTACCTGTTCTTGCAAAATTCACACGCATTGTCAATGAAGGTCTCAGAAAGTAAAAACTCCCCGTGGATTGTGCTGCTAATATACTTCCAAATACAGGTAACCATTAAGATAGCTAGACATATGAGAATTAATAGTTTATAGCAGCAGCAGCAACAAAGTAAATCGCTATTAGAGGAACACTGACACCAGTACCAGTGTGGTGTGGAGCTAATTCCTGTGCTATTGTCCCTGTCCCAATGGGGATTGGTCTGAATTAATACTACAGTTTTTCTCTTTGGAAGAGAAGATGTTTATACTATAGACAGTGTTCATATACTTAGCTGCACCACACAAGAAGCTCTGGATTAAACTCATGCTCTTGAAGGTGTAGGGACCTTCTAATGGATCTTAGCAGAATGATAGCTGCTACAGTCTGGGTTTTCTCTATACTGTTTCAATAACAATAAAGATCAATCACAAAGGAAGTTATTCTCATATAAACTTTGCAAAGAAGAAGGCTGTCCTGCATGTGGCCTGTCTCGAAGCCTCTCATTCTTTAGTCATGGCCTCAGAATAAGGAGAACACTAAGGGCCTTATCACACGGGGGTCCAAAGCAGAAGGTATCCAA